GGACCGGGGTCTCTTCCTGCTCGGTTTTGTCGGCCTCTGGCTCAGGGAGGCCTGACAATAATCCTTAAATAAAACAGCACCTTCTCCACGAAGCCTTCCCAAATTGCTACAATTAGAATGAATCACCACTGTCTCTGCCCTACGTGCTATGTAGCTTGATCCTCTCAGTGTACTGCACACATTGTTATGCTGTCAGTTAGCTATGGCTGGGTAACAAGTGACCACAAAATTTAGTGGCTTAAGAAAATTATGTAGCTCATGATTCTGTGGGTTGTCAATTTAGGTAGGTGGTTTTTCTGGTCTCAGCTGGGCCCCTCCCCCATCTTCAGTCAGCTGCGGGTTGGCTTTGGAGATCTTAGCTAGGCTCACTCACACGTCTGGGGCCTTTTTCTGGAATGAATGGGATGGCTCTGCACTCCCTGCATGCTTGTCGACCCCCAGCAGGTCAGCCTGGCTCATCCTTACGGCAGGGCTGGAGTCCAGGAGGCACAGTGGAAGGCTGGAAGGCTGCAAGGCCTCTTAGGGCCTGAGATCAAGATTGGCGCACCATTGCTTCCTCAGCATTCTACTCTCCGGAGCAACCCCCGGGCCAGCCCGGATTCAAAGGGCATAGAAATAAACTCCACCTCTTGATGGAAGCACCAGTACAGGAACACTGAAAGAGCATGGGCATAGAGAGGGTGGGAACATGGTCATTTCTGTAATTTACCCCAAGTCCCTTAACACAACTTGTGTGCTTGCCTGACTCCCCCAACACTGTGCACTTTGGGCAGAAAGAGACCTCTCTGATCCCCTGCAGCCAGGGGTACCATGTAGAGAGGAGCCATTGAGGCCAGCTGGAAGCTGTGGGTGTGAGTTCAGCCAGCATTCAAGAGACAGCACGTGGAGGGGGTGGGCAGTAAAGGAAGTACAGGCGTGAAGACCAAATAGGCCAGAGTGGGGACCTGGGCTAAGATCCTGGAGGCAAGAGGTTGAGATCAGAGATTCAAGTCTAAACAGGCTTTCCAGAAGCTGGGGGTGGCTTATCTTCACAGGCAGGCAGGTGGCAGATACCTGGTCAGTGTGCACAGGATACTCGGCATCTGATCCAGGGTCAGGCACACAGGAGGCATCGGAAAATTAATGTTCTGCATGAGCCTGCCTTTCGGGAGCCGCACCGGAGTGGGAAGGCCCGCCTAGCCTTGCAGGCTCTGGTTGGTCCCACTTGGGGGCTGAAGATCCATGGGCTCTGGACCAAGAGGCACAGCGCACCCTGGAGAAATGAAACTCCTCTACATCTGTGGAGAGCCCCAAGGGCCCACAGGGCCGGCAGACAGTATTGCTGAACTTCTAGAGTAATCATGCAGCCAGATCCTGAGGCTTCAGTGGGGGGGGAGGTGTCAGTCAACTGTGAGGACAAAAGGCTTGGTAACTGAGGGTCAATGGCTCAAGCAGGGACTCAAGAGTCAAGCTATTCTATCACACTGACTGGCTGAGACCTTCAAAGAAACTTGGTCTAATCCCCCATCTGAAGAGCAGCAAACTGAGGTTCTAGGGGAGATGTGACATGCCCAGGATTGCAGAGTGAGTGGCAGCACAGGGGACAGACCAGGCTCCCAGCCACAGATATCCCATGCTCCTTCCTCTCCAGTTCCTCCTCTCCCAGCACTGCCCACAGAGGCACCGTGCCATCCCAACCAGGAGGACACAGCACCAAATCTAGTGGAAGGTCATCAGCACCTTGTCTTTAGTTTTCATGTTTCCTTGAACAATTTGGGGAGGCAGGGGACTTGTCATTTGGGGGACTGTCATCCAGAGGCATTCCCACCATGAGAGCCAGCTTCCTGCATTAGTACTGGATCTAGTTGGGGGAGATGAAGGGGATGCCTACTTTGATCTCCCCAGCCAGGCCCCAAGAGCTGACCCAGCAGAGCCCAAGAGGATTTTGGATGATGTAGAGAGTCCAGCTGCCCCTGAGGGAGAGGAGAGGTGAGCAACCAGGGCCAGGTGGTCCAGTGGCTCCTCACGAGGTTTGGGGGTCAGAGACTCTGGGCCCCTCAGGAGGCCTGAGACCCAGACAGCCCATGAAATAGAGCCCCCTACACCCTCATAACGTATGCTATCTGCTTCTGTAGAACTGCTTGCTTAACCTAAGTAACTCCATTTTGCCCCGTCTGACCTGCAGACTACCCCCGCTTCTGCATGAGAAATCGTTGACCTTTTCATAGAAACAAAAAACAATTGCATAGAAACAGGAGCCATACACAGTGAATTATTACATGGGAACAGGCACCATACACAATGAAAACTTGTATGCTCGATTGCTCGAACGGCTCATTCTCGGCCTCTGTGACCTAGCTCCCTAGCTTGCTTTGTGCACCTGGACAAACCCGTGTGCCAACGGGATGTAGTTTTTGCCTTTAAAAACCCCACAAGACCAAAGCCTGATGCCGTTCTTCCTTGGTTGCTTCTTGGGAGACGGATGCTGGCCAGCTGGAGTGAATAAACTGCCCTTTTCTGCACGAGTGGCGTGTAAGTGCATTTCTTGTGGGAGGGGGCCTCACAACACCCACCCCCACTCTCTCCTCTACTTCCTTAAACCCCAGAATCTCTGCTTTGGAGAGGGGCTACTGCAGGCAGCTGCCCAAAGAGGAGAAATGAACTCTGGTGGTGAATCTGCCAGTGACAGGGCAAACCCTCCGAGTGAGGCAGGCCTCTTCATCTACCTCAGGCTCAGAGAGGGGAGGGGAACTGCCCAGGCTCTCAAGGTCCATGGGGAACGCAGACCCTGGGCTGCACCTCTGGTCCCACCACCACCCAGAAGAGGGGACAGTGAGGGACCGACAAATGACAGGGATGCCGAGGATTGGGGAACTGTAGGGAAAGGAGAGGGCCTCCCTCGGGCTCAGCCTCTAGGCTGGATCCTCTCCTGGCTCCCAACACTTACCCACTGACTGCAGAGTGGCCACCAGGCTGCCGGCGGCAACTCTGCCCCCATTGGTGATAGCCACTACAGACATCATCTTGGATGCTATGGAGGAGGCGGTGATTGCTCCACAGGCACAGCCCCCACTGTCACAATTGTGGGGAAGAGGAGCTTTGGGGCTGTACTCAGGGGAGAAACTCCCCCAGACCTCCCTGATACCTTTCTTCAGGGATGAGGAGGACAGGGAGTGTGCTTATTCTTGGGAGAGACCCAGAGCAAGGCTGGGAGATGTGAAAACAAGCGAGTGGACAGACTCCCGAGAGAGCCTGGATCCCGGTCCTGTTTACCCCTCCATTTTGCTATGACACACTGGGGTCTCCCTCATCCTCCCTGTGCCTCAGGTCCCCCTGTGTAAAGTAAGTACAATGAAATTGTACTTCAAACCTCCCCTTTTGGGAGGAAAAATAGTCTCTCCTGAAGCACAAGGTTGACAGAAGACAACATCAGAGCTGCTCTTCTGAGGAGGTAATGGGGTGGGGGCTTCTGCCCTCTGCTCCTGAGGACTCTGCTGTAGTGTGTGTGTGTGTGTGTGTGTGGAGGGGGTCCTTCTGGGCTCCCTGAAATCTCCAGAGCAATGCAGTCAGAACTACCTGCAATGATGAATGTGTTCTTTATCTGTACCATCTAAGCTGGTAGCCACATGTGGCTATTGAGCACTTGAAATGCTCATGTGACAGAGACACGTTATGATTTTCTTTAATTTTGGCCACTGCATTGGAGGATGCTGCTTTAGGACATAGCTCAGTAGATGAGCTACCAGAGCTTGCAAAGCAATTCTGAGGAACTAGACACAGCTCAACTTATACTTTCCCTACAACTCCCCAAATAGATATCACTGGCCCTGCTTTATGGGGAGGAATCACAGACTCAGACAGATCAAATGACTCACCCAGGGTCTCGTAGTTTGTACTTGGCAGAAGATAAGACAGGTGTGGCTGCCTTCAAAGCCTTGTGTTTTTAATGGCTTTGCCTTGCTTCCTGTGCTCTAAGGTTCTCATCACCTCCAGTATTCCACCTCTGTCCCCTGCCCACTCCACCCCCACCCACCCACATCTTGGGTCTTGAGGGAATCCTGGGCTTGGTCAAAGTTGGTTGCTCCCAGAGGCTTAGGGGCAGGGGTGGATGGGGGCTGGAAAGCTCCTTTCCGGCAGAGATTCACCTCCTCCAATCATGGGTGCAACAACACTGGCTGGAGACAGAAAGAAAGTGTGTGAGTGGATCCACTCTGGGCCTCCCCCTGCATTCTCCAGTTGCTGCCCACAGTAGGAAGGGTGCTCTGAGGTTGATATCAGAGGAGAGAACAAAGAACAGCCCCTGCCTGACCTCTTCCTGCGTTTCCAGAGAAGCCTGATTTACTGAGAATGCAGAGTTGGACAGAGAATAGTCCAGAGCTCTGTGATATTCCAGATGGGCAAGGACACCTTGAAAGGGCTCCATGCTGCTCTTTTTTTTTTTTTTTTTTTCGTGCTGCTCTTTAAAGCCAATACATTTCGTAAAATTTTCTCAAAAACAAAACAAGAATGGCATACTGTTTTTATCTGCAGCAAATTAAGCTTTTCTATTCTATCCCTCTTCCAGAAACCCTATACCCATCCCAGGTCATAGGTTGGAGGTGAAAGCCCCCACCCTTCAGGGCTTTGCCCACTCATCACGTAGGAAGCTTCCCCAGCTCCCCCCATCAGAAATCATCCTGCCTTCTCTGTCCAGCCTTGTGGCTGGAGCCACTCGTAGTACTCGGCAGAGTGTGCCTGGACCTCCTGAATTGCTTAGAGCTACCAGGGCTGGCAGGGACATCTGACAGTGGCTGCCACAGGAGCAGGGGCTGGGGTGTTTGGGCAGCTGGGACCAGGGGTTCTGCAGCTTTCAGGATCTGCAGGAATGAGCTCAGCCAGCTCTCCAAGAAGATGAATGTTAGTCCCAGGAAAGGGAGAGAAGATGAAAAAATCAGGCCTCCAATCACTCCCTGTCATTTCTTGAAGCTTTTAGTTCATGGCTCATAACCTCCCTCTCTCTCCACTAACTATTCCTGACCTGACTTGATGATTTCAATATCTACTTAGATGATATTTCCAGTAAACTGGCCTTCCACTTCTTACTTCTTCACTTCCCAAAACCTTGGACCCTGTGCCACACATTCCCTTGGTCATACCCTAGGTGGTGCTGCCCACTAAGGTAACGACCAGCCACATGTGGTTATTTAAATTTTAATGACTGAAAATGAAATAAAATTTAAAACTCAGTTCCTCAGTTGCACTAGCCACATGACAACTGCTCAACAGCCACATGTGGCTGGTGGCTACCATACTGGGTAGCACAGAGAACACATCCACCATCGCAGATGATGACATGAGAGAAGGTCATGTGAAGACAGAGACAGAGATTGGAGTGATGCAGCCAGAAGGCAAAGAACATCAAATATTGATGGCAACCACCACAAGCTGGAAGAGGCATAGAATAGATTCTACCCTAGAGCCTTCAGTGAGAGCATGGCCCAGCTGACAGCTTGATTCTGGCCTTCTGCCCTTCAGAACTGTGAAAGAATAAATTTCTGTTGTTTTAAGCCGCCCAGTTCCTGGTACTTTGTTACCGCAGCTCTGGGAAACAAATACAATCTTCTTCACCTGGCCTCCAGGAAATTGTTTTTTCTCACGTTTTTCCTACCACATTCGCCTCTCCTCATTCTCATTTCATCTCTCCCTGATCGCTGATCAACACTGGTGTGTTCACAGCCCATTCCTTAGACTCCTCTGCTTTAGTGGTACTCCGTGGGTAAACACCCAGTCCCATTGCTTTAAGAACCACCTGTATTCTGGTGATTTGCAAATTGATACACCTAGCCCAGATCTCAACACGTCCACTTGAGTGTCTGAGAAGCACCTCAAATATAACATGACCCAAGCTGCATTCTCATTTCCCCTGTCAATGCCGTTCCTCCAATGGTTGTCCCGTCTTAGTAATAGGCAGCCTCATTTTCTCAGCAGCTCAGGCCAAGCAGCCTGGATGCCTCCTTGATTCCTCATGGTCCCTCTCTACAGCAATCTATTAGCAAATCCTGCTAATTCAGTCTGACCATTCCTAACCTCTGCCTCTCCTGTCCAGGGCTAAGCCACCACATCTTTCAATGGGATGACTGTACAAGGTTCCTAACTTGTCTCTGCCTCTGTTTAACTCAGCATTTATTTTTCTCAGCAGCTCTGGCCAAAAGCCTTGAGTTGTGAAAGTGGTCAGAACCAAAATGGAATCACTTATGCCAAAGTCTAACAAAATGGACTTGGGAGGCCATAAAGGAGGGGCTCTCATGCATACATGCCTATGATAAAAACTATTACAAGGAATCTGTGAAGACCACAACCTTGCACAAAGGCCACCACAACCTTCCACAAAGAATACAAGGGTACTTCAAAAAGTTCATGGAAAAATAGAATTAAAAGATAGTACAATCTTTCCATGAACTTTTGAAGACTTCTCGTACTTCCATGAGGATGCCTGCTCAGCCACCACCTATTCAGGCTTGGATTGACATCAGCCTTGTTACTGATCCTTGTAGCCAGGAATAATTGTTTCAAAACAACTTATATAACCTTCCTCATTTTGCCTTAAAAAACCCTTGCCTTCCTTTGCCTACCTGGGTATGCCAATGGACCCCATGGTTCTCCATGGTATGCATATTCCCAGATTGTAATCCTTTGTCATTCACTCTTGAGTAAACTCTTTTCTTTGGAGAGCCTTTCTCTTTGTTGTTATTTTAGGCTGACATAATCATCCTTCACTCCTCGCTTTTTATCTCCTTCCACATTCAGTCTGTTAATGAACCCTGTTGACTTCACCTTTAATATATGTACAGAATCTGACCACTCTTTAATACCTCTACCATTGCCATCCTAGTCCACCACCACCTCTCATTCTCCAAGATAAGGGACATAAAACACAGAATGGAAACACATATATTGACTTCTGGAGTACAGGATAGATGGTGTTGATGCCAACTGTCTGTTTAAAACCCCTCTGTGGCCTCCTGTGGCCCACAGGTAAAAGCCCAAGCTCGTTAAAAAAGATAAGCGGGCCCTTCACAGTATGGCTTCTGTCTCCCTCCCCAAGCTCACTGTTGTCAATACCCACCCAGCTATGCTCCTGTCCTGGGGACAAACAGAAACCTTTCCCAACTATTTCAGGCCTCTTATCCTTTGCATACCAGATTCAGAAAATTTTTCAGGACTTCGCCATCTGACACATCCTCCAGGAGGGCTGCCCTAATCACATATTCCCAAGCTCCCTTGGCCTCCTGAATTTCCACCTACATATGCAAGTATGACTCTACTATGCTCTTTCTGCCACAGAATGTCCCATAATGCTATGCTGTTCTCATCTTCTCTGCTGGATTTTGAGCTCTGTAATGTCAAGGGTCAAGAATCATTCACTGCTGCCTCCTTCAGTACCAGGCACAGGCCTGGGATCAAAGAGGTGCTGAGTGAGTGTTTCAAAAAAAGATGCATGGACCAAGGGTGTACCTTTGTGCATTGAAGGACACAATCAACAGAATAAAAAGGCAATCTACAGAATAGGAGAAAATATTTACAAATCATGTATCTGATAAGGGGTTAATATCCAGAATATATAAAGACCTCCTACAAGTCAATAACAACAGCCTGATTAAAAATGGGCAAAAGATTCAAATAGACATTTCTCAAAGAAGGTATACAAATGACCAACAAGCACATGAAAAGATTCTTAGCATCATTAATAATTAGGGAAATGCAAATGACAACCTCCTTATAATCATTAGGATGGCTACTATCAAAAAAACTAAAAATAACAAGTGGTGGGGAGAATGTGAACAAAGTGGAACCCTTGCTTACTGTTAGTGGTAAGGTAAGATGGTACAGCTACTGTGGAAAACAATATGGAAGTTACTAAAAAAATTAAAGATAGAATTACCATATGAATTAGCAACCCCACTTCTGGGTATACACCCAGAAGAATTGAAAGCAATGTCTTGAAGAGATATTTACACACCCATGCTCATAGCAGCATTTTTCACAACAGCCAACCCCAAGTGTCCATCAACAGAGGATTGGATAAACAAATTGTTGTGTAGACATACAATAGAATATTATCATTCAGGGCCGGCCCGGTGGCGCACTGCTACGGTGTGCCGCTTGGGAGCGTGGCGGCGCTCCCGCCGAGGGTTCGGATCCCACATACAGACCGGTTCCCGCTCACTGGCTGAGCGAGGTGTGGGCGCAGCACCGAGGGTTGCGATCCCGTTGCCGGTCCCGGTCCGGTACGGGCGCGACACTGAGGGTTGCGATCCGTTGCCGGACACGAAAAAAGACAAAAAGGAAAAAAAAAAAAAAAGAATATTATCACTCAGCCTTGAAAAGGAAGTAAATTCTGATATATGCTACTGCATGGAAGAACCTTCAGGACATTATGCTAAGTGAAATAAGCCAGTCGCAAAAAGATAAATATCGTATGATTCCACTTATATGAAGTACCTAGAAAAGTCAAATTCATAGAGTCAGAAAGTAGAATGGTGGCTGCAAGGGCTGGCAAGAGTGGGTAATGGGGAGTTGTTTAATGGGTACAACGTTTCAGCTTTGCAAGATAAGAGTTCTGGAGATGGATGGTGGTGATGGCTGCACAACAGTGTAAATGTACTTAATTGTACTAAGCTGTACACTTAAAAATTAAGATGGTAAATTTTATTTTATGTGTAATTTACCACATTAAAAACCAAAAAAAGAGCACACCTTTGCTGTCCTGTCCCTGGCTGGCCTCACCTCTGCAAGGTCCCTCCCTCCCAATTACTTAAGCTGCAGACCCCTAAATAGCCTGGATCTGTGCCTGGTTATAGATTTGCATCTATTGGCCTGCGGAATGATTCATCAAAGTACTGTTGAGTAAAAGAGGCAATTCTCCAAACAGGGATGAAGGAAGACCCTACGTAGTATGCTTATATGTATGCATGCTTTTTGTTTTTTAACATGTGGTGCTTGGAGCTTCTTTAGAGGTCTGGGCAAGGTGTGACATGAACTATGGTACCTCAGGCATAAGTCACTTTTGCCATCTGATGGAAGAAAATACCAAAATGATTTTCATTTAAGAAAGAATTGCAAATTAATTTTTAAATTAAAACATGATGGTATTCTGAGGTAGGAACAATAATTAACTGGAAATGGCATGAGGGAATTTTCTGGGATTATGGAAATGTTCTTTATCTTGTTTTGTGCAGTAGTTATATGAGAATATGCAAATGTTAAAACTCATTCAACTGAAAACCTACACTGTGCATTTTATTGTACATTACTTATACCTTCATAAAATATATTTTCAAAAACCCTAATCACATTAGAATTAGAAAATGGAGAAGAGAAAAAATTACCACCCTAACACAACAACTTAACACTGTGGGGTATTTCTCGGAAATGTGTTTTCCCCCAGCGTGTTATTTTTGATATGTATGCTATATTAAAAGGTATGCTTAGAAGGGAGTGTGCGATGACAATAAGAGGAATGGCTAAAGTTAATCTGGGCTCACCATACACCAGGCACCGCAGCGAGCACTTTACATGCATTATCGCATTTAATCCTCACAACCCTCTGAGGGTTATTGTTATTGTCCTCATTTTACAGATGAGGAAACAGATACAGGAAGATTAAGTAATTTGCCAAAGTCACACGAGGGTTGTTACAGAGTTCAGATCTGAGTCCAGGCAATCTGATTCCAGACACCTAACCCCCTCCCTAGGAGCCCTCCCTGGCTAGATGAATCGCTTTCTTATTGGGGAGTTTTATGAGCTCAACTGTTCCAATGGCTCCAAATGCATTCTTGATGATTACCCATGGCCCACATCCACTTTTCTTTTTGGAAAAGAGACCTTCACATTTGTAAGTACACCCACTCCAGCCACTGGCAATGGAGGATTCTGCGTGGTTCCCTTGGCAACTGGGACTCATCTCTTGCTGAATGTCTTCATCTTTATTACTTTTATCAATTGTAAACAGCTTCGCTTCTGTCTCTATTAAAATAAATTATTACATATTTATCGTTTCTTTAGAAAATAACTATTTTTAAATTAGAATATTGAGAAGAGGGGGAAAAATACCTATGTTCCCACTACTGTAATATAACCTTTATCATTGTTTTGCTCTTGGCTGGAATCTCCCTCTCCCCCATCTTTAAAAATTAAGCCAATTTCTTTTTAATTTACAATTTTTTAGTTAAAACTATTTACTGAACTCTTTATTATGAAAAGTTCTTAAACCTCAAAGTTGAAAGAATAGTACAATGAACACTCATATACCCTTTCTTGAGCATCTAGAATTCACCAACTGTTAACATTTTGCCACACTTGCTTGCCCCTCTCTTATATATATTCTTCTTTTTTTCTGAACCATTTTTGAGTAAGTTGTAGCCATCATGGCCACTCATCTGAAATACATGAGCAGCAACTTTCAAATCTTAACCTGTAGAAACCACTGCTCCATTCATCTCTATAATTTAGTCATTTCAACAATGTTTATATGACCTTTTGAGATGGGCTTTTTTTCACTCAACATAATGCCCTTGAGATCCATCCAAATTGTTGTGTTTATCAATTGTGGAGGATACTGACATTAATAAGACACTGGTATTTCACAGGGCCTTAACCTAGAGCATAGTAGGACCACAGTCCTTAATTTTAGCAGGACCAAAGTCCTATAGTTTAAGTCACAGCCCAGCTCTTTAGAAATATACATAGAAAAGCTAAGATTGGGAAAAAACAGAAAAACTTTCACAGAACTAAAGTCTTTGATGAAGATAAGAAAATTGAAACACAGCAAAAGTGATTGCTCTGAGGGGCAGTTGCTCTTGGTGCAGCTAAACCTAAATGATGGGAAAGTATGTGAGCTACAAACTTCAAAGTTACTCTGCTAGTTACTGGTTGGGGGATGTTCCACATTTTTCCCTCAGCTGTTTCTTTAAGTTTCTTAGGAAACTAAGTGTTGCCATGATGATTATCTCACTGTTTCCTTTGTATGTCACAGAGCTTAGTTTTATGACTCCTTTTGATGGTAAATTGCTTGAACTATTTTTAAGTTACACCTGCTTTAATGAAAATTGTCATGTAGCCAGTTTGTTTATGTTTTCACTATGACTGATTAACCACCTGCATTTCTTCTGTAACTTTCTTGTCTGCACAATAAAGACTGAGAGAAAACCTGACTCAGGGCTATTCCTAGGACTCTCCTCCTTTGAAGGAGCTCTCCCTGGGTTTAACCCCTTTGGTCCTCTCATTGCCCTGGATACCTGGGCTCTGAGTAATCCTTTGCATCTTGGTCACCCTGAGAGAGGTGATGACAATCAATAGTTTGTTCCTTTCTATTGCTGAGTAGTATTCCATGGTATAGATATGCCACGGTTTGTTTGTTTTTTTATCATTTACTTATCATAGAATATTTTGTCTGTTTACAGTTTCGGGCTATTACAAATTAAGCTGCCATGATCTATCAACAGATGCTATGTGGCAAGGTCAGTGTTCTTTGTCACTTTTGGTGCTGGGTCCAACTACAAAAGGGGAGAAGGAGCCTGTCCTCAAGCTAAGATCAACTGTTTATTCATACATTCAACAAACACTTAAGACCACTGAGTCAGCCAGACACTTACTAGGCATTTTGAGAGATGACAAGGAGAATCTGAAGGGAATTCCTTGAGGAGCTTGCAATCTAGTTGAAAAGATAAGATTAGAAAAGTAAATCTCTCAATCTAATGCTATGTTGAAAGTGCCATACTCCATGGAGAAAGCTCTGGGAATCCTAAAGAAGGAGATGTTTGTTGAAATAAATTATTAGCCTAAGTCATACTTTATTCAACCTTGGCCACAAGTTTCAAACAATGTTTTGCATTGTCTGGGGAGAAATTCTTTCTCCCAGCCTCTTCAACCTCAATCCTTTTCTTCTTTGAGCTGGCTATTGAGCTAAGGGTCACAACACTGATTCTGAGACAATCTCCCTACCAGGTCTAAGATTCTCCAAGCACTCTAGTTTGGGAAGTAAGGAACTTGGCACCTGTTGTTTTGTTTTCAGTCTTCGTGCCTCCACCAAAATTGGCTCAGAAAAAAATGCCATTTTAACATTTCATTCATAATATCAGGAAAAAAAATTTATTTTGAAAAAAAAATGAATAAATAAAAACATCATCTAATCCGATGTTGAAATTTCAATCTCACATGCAATTCATAACTTCTTCCTCTTTCCCAGTTCAGATCTGATCCAGCCTATGAAACCTAGAGCTAAGAAGAGAGGGATGACCTGCTTCTCACTTTTCTTTCCTCCACTTTCTCCCTGCACAGCTGCTTTTGATATCTTCAGAGTCAACTGAGCTGAGGCATGAAAGATAAAGGGACAAAAAGCTATTTTAACTTAGTTGGTGCTGTTTGCCAATCTCTCTTGGCCATCCCATAGAACTGTCTCTCTTCTGCCATGGAAGATATCCAAACAAAAGCTACTTTTTTCTCTCTTAGGATGCTGTGATGATTAATTTTATGTGTCAACTTGGCCACAGTGCCTAGATAATTGGTCAAATGTTATTCTGGATATTTCTGTGGAGGTGGTTTTTGAATGAGACTAACATTTAAATCGGTGGACTTTAAGTAAAGTAGATCATCCTCCATAATGTTTCTGAGCCTCATTCAAAAATCAGTTAAGACCGTAACAGAACAAAGAATGACCTTCCATGAGCAAGAAGGAATTCTGCCAGCTGACTGCCTTTGGACTCAAAACTACAACATCAGCTCTTCCCTAGGTCTCCAGCCTGCTGGCCTACCCCATCAGATTTTGGACTGGCCACGCCTCCACAATCATGTGAACCAGTTCTTTACAATAAATCTCTCTCTCTCTCCACACACATACACACAAACACATCCTGTTGGTCTGTTTCTCTGGAGAACCCTAACACAGGCGATTTTGTCAGTTTTTCAGAGACCCCACTGAGACTTTCCTCCATGTGGCATTCTGACCCCACAAGGTGACCCCCATTTCCCACCTCAGGAGCCCTACTTTCAGCCTCTTTCTGTGGGGTCCTGTGGAGTATACTATAAAGCAAATATATTTCACAAGGCCTGGTTTCTCGTAGTTTCAGGTTTAGCCTAACTTCTTAAAAGTACATATAAAATGTTGACCTTGCAAAGGACAGGAAATTTTCTCCGGGCTATAGTCTCTGTTGTAAGATAAAGAATTGTAACATAGCAAGGTTGCTGGTTCAAAGACAGACAAGTTACTGATTGATATGTAAAGATACTGGGAAGCTGCTGTAAGGAGAGAGAATGTTTGCTAAGATCAAGTTTTTGTTGGTGGATCAACTTAATCTCTTGCAAATTGCATTATTGAATATCACTTTGCTTGTTTTACTGAATGTTACCAGCCTATATTGTTAAACTATAACCCCACCTGTGTTCTATTCCTGTAACTTCCTGGTCTGGAGAATAAATGCAGGAAGAGAACCCCAATTTTTGGTTAATTTCCCAAGGAAGGAATGCCTCACTCTTGAGGGTTCTGGGAGATTAACCCCTTCGGGGCTTCTCACTGCTTTGAGTAATCCTTTGCAGGTCCGTCACCCAGGGGAAGAGGGGTGACAAATCCATGGGAAGCAAAGCAACAGGGTCCCTTTTCCCAGGAAACAGCCCTGTTAGGCAAAGTTCTGTCAAGACAACCCCATGACTTCCAAGGTGTATAACTTGTCCTGCCATGGAGGAACATGCAGCCCTTCCTCCCTCACGCCAGCATCAGAGACAGTTCCAGTCTCTTATCATCCGAATTCCTCAGGCACCAGTTGGGCACATGCTCTATGCCACCCAAACTTTTAGAGACACATTGGCAAGTCCCCCCAAGAAATGAGTTGAGCTCTGTCCACGGTGGACGGGAGGAAGGTGCTCACTTGACCTAAGATTGGAGGATTCCTTACCATTGTCCTTTGCTAATTTCTATGATCATCGGACAAGGAAAAAATGTATGAGACAGGTTTTCGAAGTGGTCATGGGATATGCACATGGACAAGGTAACCACTGCGAGGCTGAATTCTCTGAATGTAACAAAGAAGTTGGATTAGCCCGGTGACTAAAACGTGCGTTTTGGAGTCAGGCCCGTAACCATCGGTGTGCAACAGGCGAGGCATCAAAGAACTGGGTAAAACAGAACCTGCAATCCAGGCTGGCTGGAGGTAAAGTAAATGAGAAAACGTGTGCAAAGCTCCAGGCACACAGTGGGTACGCAATACTCGGACAGCTACTGCACTAAAACTAGACTAAGAATACAAGAAAGCTCATGTTTCTGCAGAGCTGGAGCAAAGAAGATTCCGACAGAGCACAGCGCACGACGCCTACCCCCGCCCCTAGGAGCAGGAGGAGGATCGTCAGGAGGAGCCAGGCCTACGCCCCACCCTCGCTCTCCACCCTGGTGCAGAAGTCCGCACGGCAGCCAATCAGGTAGCGGCGTTTGACATGGGGCGGGACTTCCTGCCGCAGGGCGCACGCCTACGTGAGCGGAGGCTCCGCCCCGGAACTGCAGTCGGCGCTGCGGTTGAGGGACGGTTGTGGCGGTTTGTGAGGCGGTTGGCCCGAGTCTGAGGTAGTTGTGGTGGCGTCTCCACACAGTGAGTGCGGGAGCTGGAGTGGGTTTGCGGCCGGCTTCGGAGACGGACTGGGGAGGGGACTTCGGGCTCCCATTGCTGGCCTCTCCGGGCCGCTGGCTTCCTCTGGTCTCGGGAGGGTGGCCGCCGGCCCAGGCCGCTCAGCTAAGCGGCGTGCCGCCCCTTGCGCCCGGGAAACCTTCTCCGGGCATCAAGGCCCGGCGACCTCGCCCCTCGGCCTCGTGCGCCCTTTCATGCCTGAGACTGACGAGGCGAGAGCGCCTGTTGCGGGGAACGGCGCCACGAGGAGGGACCGTTGCTTGCTCTACTGTAGGTCGCTGTCCGCATCCTCGCCCCCCCCCCCCCTCCTTACCAAACCCCCCCCCCCCCCCCCC